TGGCCGAGTGGTTAAGGCACGTCAGCGTATATGACGGTTCCGTATAGGATGCAGGTTCGAATCCTGTCTATGAACGAATATTTTCTATGAAAATTTCTCGGACATTCAGGCCGGTAAATGTTATTTAATACTGTTTATCATAAACAGAGCATTTGCTTAAATACTTGTATCTATAAAATAACAACGTTAAACATAAATAAAAATGTCTTTAATAAATAAATTGTCGGACCTCGTCCATTTCTTAACATATATATATATATATATATTCATACATGTTTCATTAAATAATATAGACAAGTGTTGTCTATTTATTTTTATGTAAATTCTTTTCATATCGTCTGATAAGCTTAATAACATTATCATTAAACGAAGAAAGAAAAATCACAATATTGATACATATTTTTTAATCCAATCTAAGCTTTCGGCTTAGATGATCAAAGATGTCAATTACTGTACAACATATTAAGCAATATACGACAAGACAGTGATATTTCTGTTTACATGGATGATTTCCAAGCAATGATAAACACGTGCATATAAGACGCTGGAAGCGAAAATCACACCGCAGCTCATGACGTCACGAATGACCACGCGAGAGTGAATTCGAGAAGTATTAAGTATGGGAAGCCGTTGGTATAAAACAATGGCTTCTGTTACCAATTATAGACATTTAAGGATATTTGTGTGTGTATATATATATATATATATGTGTGTGTGTGTATGTGTGTGTCTGTGTGTGTCTGTGTCTGTGTGTGTGTGGAATGTGTTTGTATATATATATATATATATATATATATATATAAATGCGCGGTACTTATTGGAAAGCGCTCAATATGAGTGATATAGCTGAAATATTCTGTTGGATTGATGTGAGTTTCAATTCAACTAAATATATATATATATATATATATATATATATATATATATATGTGTGTGTGAGTGTGTGTGTGTGTGTGTGTGTGTGTGTGTGTGTGTGTGTGTGTCATCGTGTTGTTTCTTTTATCTCATAAGATGACGACCAGGTTATTATATGTAAATAGAAGCTGCGACCCCGAGGCTCGTAAATACTTATGTCCGAACGAGTATGTCAGCATGTTGTCATGTCTCTGTTCATTGGTGAATAATGCTTGATGAAAACATGATTTCTATCGTCCTGCTTAATTTTCTTCATACCATGTTCAATTTCCGGTGAATAATACGGAGGTGAAAGCCACGTAGTTGTAATTTGGGAGGAAAAGCAGCCTAAAAAAATAAATAAATAAAAGAAAGACTAAATAGAAAAATGCAAGGATGTTGTGAAGAGGGTAACGGCGAAAAAATCGATAGTTAAAGAAATGTATTGAGAACGAGGCAAACCTTAGAAATTGAAATGGAAAAAGGGAGGAAAGTGAAAGGAAAAGGAAGAGAGAAAAAGAAAGAGACGAACAAAAAAAGAAAGAAAAGAAAACAAAGAGGGAGAAGTAAAGCAGAAATATTCAAGAAATAAATAAACGGTGACACATTAGTAGTTAAAATAAAATAGAGGTAAAAGTAAACAAAAAAAAGCGGGAAAAATGAACAATGGCGGGAAACAGTAAGCAGAGACGATCGGAGTAAGGAGAAAATAGAAAAAAAAAATGTATAAAAAGAAAATGTGGCATAAACATAGAACGAAAGAAAGTGTTATTTGGATAATATGCGTAATTGAAATTGGCAAAAAAAGGAACATATAACATATTAAATATTATCAAACATATATTTAACTGTATATCAAAGAAATATTGAATATATCAACTATAAAAGGTTTATGTAACAGATATTGAAGATATCAAGCATATATTGAAATGTATATGTAACAAATACTGAATAGATCAAAGGTATATATAAGAAACATTAAATATATCACAGATACACAGCGAAGCAAAAGTCGCGAACTCTAGAGGTTAATTAATTAATCCTATTTTAAATGTCTAAATTGTTTTGATAGGTCCTGCTGAGTGACCACCGAACTCAGGAGACCTCACATGCTTGGATTTCTTTCTGTGAGGACATTTGAAATCAGTTGTTTATGAGAAATATTTAGGAAACTATAGAAAGAAGTAAATATGAAAGCAGTAAAATGATAGGAAATTCACCGACATGTTAATGAAACATGGAGCCATAGTATTGAAATGTTTTCCGAAAGTAGGACTTTTTGAATAACACCTACAATAATTAAATATCTACTAAATGAAACTTATATGTGTACTTTTAATAAATTTTCTTAATGATGCTCAATAAGTAATGAACATATCAAACAGATATTAAAAGGTAAATATAAAAAAAAAATTGTAAATATATCAAACATATTGAAAGGAATATATATGAATTATTAAATATGATCATAAGAGCCGCCCGAGCGGGCGGCATTTGAGCTATCTCTTGTGGAGAATTCTTGATTGGGCCCTCGGTTTGTTCAAGAGGTTGAGAGTCCCTAAGACTTTACATATTCTCAGCTAAGATAACTGAATTCGTACTTCAAGAGTAATGCATTCATAGCAGCAGCAGCAGCCACTGTTTTTATTAAGTATACCCTTTTCTCTATAGAGCTCTATCGAAATATATATATATATATATATATATATATATATATATATATATATATATATGTGTCTGTGTGTGTGTGTGTGTATGTTTGTGTGTGTATGTTTGTGTGTGTATAAGTATGTGTGTGCAAAATTTCAAATATAACTAAAACTATACATGTAAAAGTACAATATGAATAAAGACAAAAATAAAACTCATCTTAGCCGACGCGTTAATTCCAAATTAAAATAATATATATATCTACTCTAATAGCTTCATGTCTCGTACCTCTCGCCTGTGGAACATACTTCCCTATTACTGTTGCCCTGGGAGCTATAATCTCCAACTATTCAAATGTAATATGAATAGACATCTCCAGTTGCCTTGATCTATCCACTATCCTTCTGCTCTTCCTTCCTCTATCACTCTTATCTGATCTTGCTCCAAATTTTCTGTAACCCCTTGCGTCCTAGTGGCTTCCCGGCTTAAAAAACAAAAATATATAAATAAAAAATAAAAAAAACCCAAAGGTCTCTTACTCATTTTGTTAATTAAACGTTGAATAACATCATTTACCAGCCTCCATTGTTTACCAAAACCTTTCACTTAGACTGATGAATATTTATGGGCGTTTCTAATTTCGAAAAATCAACAATGTTATTATTTTCGTTAATACATACTTGCATCAAAATAAAATTTTTACGTTTGCCTTGATAAAGGCCATCAGGATAAGAAAGGAACTGGCCACGATAAGTTTTCCTTTTGTCTTTATTAATATAACTGACCTGGGTTGTCGACTACAGTCACTTTCTCACAGATGTGATATGGCTTCCCTCTGTCTTTTCTACAAATATTTTCATGGCAACTGCTCTGACGAGCTATTTTCACTGGGGCCCCAACGGCATGAATGCTACTAGGTTGAAAACACGGTTCCAGCCTTTAACTGTTGAAACAGTTAAATGTAACCGCCTCTTCTACTCCAATAGATTCTTCTCTCGCACTTCCCGACAGTAGAACTCCCTTCCTCTTACTTGCCTTCCTGATAGCTCTAATCTTCAAATATTCAAATGTAATATCAATCGACATTTTCTGATAGCTTCTATCTTGGTTGCCGTTTGATCTGGGTTTTCAATTACACGAGACTTTCTTTTTCTCACTGCATCCTTGGCTCTTTTGATTACAATCTGGTCTTCTGTTGGCGGAGATTTCTTTCTGCGAGACATACTGCTGCCGTATGCGATAGGCAACAATATTAAAAATTGATCGCTGCATTTAAGTATTGCATCAATATTAACGTTTAACATTTAAAAGTTCAACGATAATTCTTCCGCCACCACTTAATCTAAAGACAATTTGATGTGCTGTGGCGGTCTGTGTGCGGTTTTCTGCGTTGGCTCACAAGTATTTGAAGCCTGGCACTTCCTCCAGTAGTTCCCGCGTCCATGGTAATACAGGCACTGGTGTTTCTCGTGCTACTCCCCACTACTTTGGATTTCAATTTTGAGTTCCATTCCATAGGCGCCGGCTCTTTCAAATAGTTTGTTACTGAAGTCTTGCAGCTTACTGTTACTTTTCTCCATAAGGTCAATATCATCTGTGAAACCTAGGTTGTAGACAGGCTTACAATCAATAGGAATAAAAGTGTTGTGGTCGTGGAGGGTTTTTTGCATAAGTCTCTCCAGAAACAGGCTGGGGAGAGTAGACATCCCTGCCGATAGTCGTCTGGGAGAATCACCTACTTGGCTACTCAAGAGAACTGAATTGGTGGTATGGTTATAAAAGTACGTGTACGAGACCGCCTTCGATGTTGAGTCGTCTGAAGATGTGCCAGAGGCCATCATATCATGCCCGATCAAATGCTGTCTTCAAATCAATGAAACAGTGGAATAGGGCTCTCTTCTTTTACAGGTGTTTCTCGATGAGGACCCTACAGTTGATGATTTGTTCCACTGTACTGCCTTCGGTTCTTGTTGAAACTTGACTAATGCATGGAATAATAATACAATACAAAATGTACTTAGAACAAAATGTATTGAAACAAGAAAGTGTACACAATATTTACATATAGTCTTTTGTATATTCCTGGGAAGACCGTTCCTGGAGAATAGGTTGACTTAGTCGCAGTCGGGCAGAGTCTCTGGTTGAATCTCTTGATTCCTCCCTCTCTTCCCGGTACCAACCATATTTATATGGTTGGTACTCCACTATGCAAATTAGGTGGATCCTACCACAACAGTTCTAAAATATCCCGCGCATTTATAATAGTATTTATCAGCTTCGTGTTTCAAAAGAATTAGGATAATACTGAGAATGACCTTGCTGGAGAGCTTGATCAGACTTTTTGTTCAATAATTCTGGCACCGCTTGAGGTTAACCTTCTTTCACCAGTGACTGGGTCCACTCTTCTGGCCAGTTCTGGTCCCAGATTCGCTGGCATAGGGCTGTTAGGTCCTTAAATGTTTCCTCCCCTCTATTTTTCGTCAGTTCAGAGGAACATTGTCCACTCCAGGTGAGTTGCCAGACTTCCTACTGCTGCTCTACTTCCTCTTTCCGTATTGCCAGACTGCCTTCCACTTTTGTGGGGGTCACTGCCTCACAAAAGAGGAAGGCAAGTCGGCTTGCAGTAAAGTGGAAACAGGATGGCGCTTATAATTGTATAGGCCGTCACAGTATTCGGTCCACCTATTCAGAACATCTACTGTGTCTGATATGTTGATTAAATAAGTTCGGTTCAATATTCCAACGTATATCACCTGAAGAAAGCCGGAGCGTACAACAACTGAAACGTTGTCAGTTCATTATCTATCTATCTATCTATCTATCTATCACAGTCTGTTCATATCTATCTATCTATCTATCTATCTATCTATCTATCTATCTATCTATCTATCTATCTATCTATCTATCTCAGTATGTTCATATCTATCTATCACAGTATGTTCATTATCTATCTATCTATCTATCTATCTATCTATCTATCTATCACAGTCTGTTCATAACTATATATCTCTGTTCATATCTATCTATCTATCTATCTATCTATCTATCTATGTTCATATCTATCTATCTATCTATCTATCTATCTATCTATCTATCTATCTCTGTTCATATCTATCTATCTATCTATCTATCTATCTATCTATTAGATCGATTAATAAGTAATTTCCGTTTTAAGAACGCTGTAACGTATTATGCTAATATTTAGATTATACTAACATAGAAACCATGTTCAAGTCAAACCGAAGATTGCTTTTTTCATCGTTGCAAAACTCGTTTACGGGGAAAATTTTCTTCAATTAAAACGTAATTCAATGGTATGTTGAAAGCTATTTCATATCAAATCCCGCGGAAAATGACTTCCTCATTATATGACCCAGAAATTTCAACTACCTCTCCCTTATATTAAGTATTGATTTTCTTTTTGTTTCCATTTTCTCTTAAAACTTCGTCGTTGCTCACATATTCGGCCAATAATCTCCTCAGAATTCTTCCGTAGAACAATATTTCTGTTATTTTAGGTTCCCTCTTTATCTTAAAGAAGGGCGTCCAGTGCTCACTGCCATAAAAGAAAATTATTGTTCACATACAATGAAAACACAGTGAGAAATTTAACAGAAGTACATTGTCTATTTTCAGTGATTTTAACAAAATGCATACATCTATCGATCTATCTATCATTCTATATAGTCATCCACAGATAGTATGTTTGGTGTGTATCAGAACACTGCAGTACGGCTAGAAGTTTGATTGCTTCAAGCCGGGATCGAAACTCAAGCGATTTGGCATCAGTTAGAAATCCCACCTCTAAGTCGTCGGCGCACAGCAGAGAGATAGAGAAATCTTTTGCGTTTTTTTTTCTTTTTTTTGTATACGAAATACACCAGTGGCTAAGATAACTGAATTCGTACTTGAAGAGTAATGCATTCATAGCAGCAGCAGCAGCAGCAGCAGAAGCCACTGTTTTTATTAAATTTACCCTTTTCTCTCTCTCTCTCTCTCTATATATATATATATATAATGTGCGCGCGTGTGTGTGTGTGTGTGCGTGTTTATAAGTATGTGTGTGCAAAATTTCAAATATAACTAAAACTATACATGTAAAAGTACAATATGAATAAGAACAAAAATAAAACTCATCTCAGCCGACGCGTTAATTCCAAATAAAAATAATATACATATCTACTCCAATAGCTTCATATCTCGCACCTCTCGCCTGCGGAACTCCCTTCCCTATTCGAGTTTCCCTGAGAGCTATAATCTCCAGCTATTCAAATGTCATGTCAATCGACATCTCCAGTTGCCTTAATCTATCCACTACCCTTCTCCTCATCCTTTCCTCTATCACTCCTATCTTATCTTGCTCCAAATCTTCAGTAACCCCTTGCGTCCTAGTGGCTTCCCGCCTTGCTTGGGGGGAAACGCTCAAAAAATAAATAAAAAATAAAAATAACCCAAAGGTCTCTTACTCATTTTGTTAATTAAACGTTGAATAACATCATTTACCAGCCTCCATCGTTTACCAAATCCTTTCACTTAGACTGATGAATATTTATGGGCGTTTCTAATTTCGAAAAATCAACAATGTTATTATTTTCGTTAATACATACTTGCATCAAAATAAAATCTTGACGTTTGCCTTGACGTTTTCCATCAGAATAAGAAAGGACCTGGCCACGATAAGTTTTCCTTTTGTCTTTATTAATACAACTGTTATAGAGTAGTTTCATAGCGGGGGCTTGTATTTCACTAAGTCAGTCCTAAAAAGGTTCGACGTACAAAACGTTAGGAACTTGATATAATAGTTAATGACGCAGCAATCTAGTTGTGGTGGGTGATACTTTAATGTGCGACTAACGGTCGTCCGACATCGACTGACTGACCAACTCTCTGAGTGACTATTACTATTACTCACACTTATTACAGGTGGGAGAGTCTATTAACAATAGAATAGGTGTGTTCCAGTATAACAATAACTGACCTGGATTGTCAACTACAGTCACTTTCTCACGGATGTGATATGGCTTCCCTCTGTCTTTTCTACAAATATTTTCATGGTAACTGCTCTGACGAGCTATTTTCACTGGTGCCCCAACGGCGTGAATGCTACTAGGTTGAAAACACGGTTCCACCCTTTAACTGCTGAAACAGTTAAATGTAACCGCCACTTCTACTCCAATAGATTCTTCTCTCGCACTTCCCGACAGTAGAACTCCCTTCCTCTTACTTGCCTTCCTGATAGCTCTAATCTTCAAATATTCAAATGTAATATCAATCGACATGATCTGATGCCTTGATCTTCATCCGCGTCCTTCTCTTTATCCTTTATCAAACACCGCTCTTTACTCTTACTTTCACTCCTTTGCGTACTATTGGCACGCCCACTTTACTTAGGGTGAAATGCTTAATACATGCACACAAACACACACTCACACATACACACACACACGTGTGTGTGTGTGTGAAAATATATAGAAAATAGGAAAGAAATCATTAGGTAAATAATCGAAAGTTCTTTAGTATTTTTGTTATTTTTAAAAACAGTGCTCTATACAAACGTAGAGCCTATATATATATATATATATATATATATATATATAGATATAGATATATATATATATGTATGTATATATATATATATATATATGATAAAAGGCTTAATTAATATATATTCCATGGTCATAATTTATTCCATTGGAATGGTAAATTATATTTACCACTAATATTATCTATATATAAATTCTAAATTATATTTATATATATATTTATATATAAATAAATATATTTATATATAAATATAAATATTTATATTTATATATAAATTCTAAATTATATTTACCATTAATATTATTATATATATATATATATATATATATATATATATATATGTGTGTGTGTGTGTGTGTGTGTGTGTGTGTGTGTGTGTATTAAGCATTTAATTTCAAGCAAGGCGGAAATGTCACTAGTAGGTAAGGGGTACAGGGAAGGAAAGTGAAAGAGAAGACTGAGAATAGGAAGGATTGAGGAAATTACAAAAGATGAAAAAGAAAGATGATGATTGACATTGCATTTAACATTTTGAAGATTGTAGTTATCAGGATGCAAGTAAGAGGAAGGGAGTTCCACAGGCAGGATGTGCGAGTAGAAAATAATCTATTGGCGTAGAAGAGGCGGTTGTATTTAACCATGTAGACATCAAAATGATGGTACCTTGATCCCAATCTAGTAGCACGTTTAAAATCATGTCGTGTCCAAAATAGATCGTCAAAGCAATTGATATGAAAATGTTTGTAGAAAAGACAGACGAAAAGCTTGCCACGTCGGTGCGAAAGTAACTGATGTCGAGTTGCTAAGTTAGTTTCGATTACATTACTGACACTCCTTTGTATTTTGTCATATATATATATATATATATATATATGAGCAAAAATTTGTTTATATATATACATATATATATATATTTGTAAACAAATTCTTGCTTATATATATATATATATATATATATATATATATATATATATATATATATAGCAGAATTTGTTTACTTGTCTGATTGGCTTTTAATTTGGTGAGCATAATTATTTGGGGTGTGGACACTGACTTAATCATACTTATCGGTGGCTCTTCATGGTAAAACCTTCTTTCTATTTCTTTTCTCTCAAGCAAAATTATTTTTTGTTGTTGTAACAATTCATTTCTCCGTTAAACTATTATAAATTGTCTTTCATTATTAATGTTTAGAGATGAAAAACATTTGCGTGTTATTTCAAATAAATCACTTTTAGAGAAAAATTTCACCGAAAAAATATTTTTTTCTCATTTTTCATCCTATTTTTTTTCCCCTGGAACTTTACCAGGAAGATATTTATGCTAATACTTTATTCTTCCGTAGTTATCATACCTGACCGGGTACGATGGAAATAAACCTTGAGAATAAAAAGATGATATTGCTAAGTAGACATTTTTGGGTTATTGATTTCATCTCTTGCTGTTAAAAGCTGGTGGTTGTGGTGGTGTTTTTACTTTTCAGAAATTTACATATAGATCCAGCATTTTAATGTAGATCCGACGTAATTGGGACAAAATGTCACAATTGTCAGCTGACACCCATCATCTGAAAGTGACGAGAGTGTATTTGGTCGAAAAGTTGTGTCTATAATAACATCTACGTCAATCAATTTTACAAATAGTACAAGAATAGTGCTCAGAAGGGAAATAATAAATTATGAAAAGTGTACAAACCGGCCATCATACCCGCATGTCAACTGACTTTGAATTTAAAAGGTTAAAAAAAAACAACTCAACATTAATGTCTTTTCGAACAATGGTGGAGTGAATATAGGAGTTGGCAATACATCTGTTACTGTTATGTAATGGTTATAGATTTAATCATTAAATCAGCCAGTGAAGTACTAATTCAAAAGGTACGAATAAAAGACACCTTCTTTTATGTGCCATGTCCCATCAGGTGACCATGGCCCTCGACATCTTCCAGTCGCTTGTATCTCCTAATCATTTTTTTCTTTTTGTTACTTCTCCCAAACCCTGTTCTACGATCCATTTGCCCAAGCTCATCATGTTACGCGCTGCTTTCCTCTGTCCTTCTTTCCTTCAATCTGCCCTGTGTTTATCAGATTTTCCAAGCCTTCCTTCCTCATTACGCACACCAGAAATTTCAACTGCCTCTTCCTGACGTTAAGTATCTTTCTTGTTTCCGTTTTCTCTAAAACCATATCGTTACTCACATGATATCCTCAGCATGTTTCTGTAGAAACATATTTCTCTTGCTTCATGTCACAGGGAAAAATCCCAGAATATTCAACAGATGTTCCTTAAGAGCCAGTGACCATAAGGGTGGTTGGCGAAAACGTCGTGTTTATAAACTTTATTTATTTATTTTTTTTAATTAACACTTAGCTTCTATCTTTAGAGTAACTCTTAATTCTCAGGTTAAAAGAGAACATTTGGCAAATTTTCTTTGGTTTTTTGTGAAGGAGGGTGAAGAAGTTTACTGATTTGATTGCTTATTGGTGAGGATAATGATATACATATTATCCCCTTTCAGTTTCTATGGTTCGTTGATGTCCGCTATTCGGTTTATCTGAAAAGACTTTGCGAGTCGAATAACTTATTTTTCGTTTTTTTTCTTATCATTGAAACGTATAAAACAAATGTAATCTAACCTTTGCAAGAATACGTGTGATCTTC